CAAAAGCTTTGGTTTGTCTTTGACATTTGGAATTTTTCAAACACAAAACAAACACAACGAAATAAATAAATCTTTGAAATTTGTGTGTAAAAATTGTTAATTTATGCAAGAGCTTTACACATTTTTAGTTTAATCAAAGATTAATTGCCTTTTTGTGTCCAAAAAGCGTTAACAATATAATAAATGTAGTGTTTGTTTACATACATTTTGTTTTTGTCTTCCCTTTTCATTTGATGAGAAGTCAAAGCAAATGCGGATCAAGCAGTGTAAACACCTTCAAATGACTGATTTCAAATCACGCATTTTGGTCCAATGTAAATGTAATATTTCAGACCATATATTGAAGGATTGCCTTTTCGAATAATTACTGACCATTCAAGTCTCAAGTGGCTAATGACACAAAAAGACTTGAGTGACAGGCTGGCAAGATGGTCGCTTCTATTGCAAAGATACAACTTTAGGATGGAGCATCGCAAGGGATCATTGAATGTTGTGCCCGACACCCTTTCGCGTCTTGACGTGGACCAATTGTCTTCTACCACACCTCTGGAAATTGACTTGGCATCTCCGGAATTCGACGGCGCAGAGTACTCGGTGCTTCGTGAGACAATTAAAAATCAAGAAGGGCTACCCGATCATCGCATTGTCGACAATATAGTTTACAAAAGAGTGATGTTTCGAAGAGGTGTGGAAGAGGAAGAAGATTCGCTCTGGCGTTTGTGGTTACCGGAAGGGCTGACGGAGCTCGCAATCAAATGCTCACATGATTCCAATGCTAGTTACCATGGAGGTTGGCAAAAGACTTTAGAGCGTGTTCGGCAGAAATATTTTTGGCCGCAAATGGCAAAGGACATACGCCTCTATGTAAACCGGAGCGAAATCTACAAAGCCGTGAAAGCCACCAATCAAGTGTCCAGACCACCTGTAATGGCACTACACGCGATGTGGTAACATCTTACATGGCAACACTTATGTTGCCCAAAATAATAAAATTACATCGC